GGATTGGGATTGGAAACCAAGCCAACACAAACTGAACCGAAGATCCCCACAGATCCGTGACAGAGTCTTCCTTGGCAATAATAAAAACGCTCGATTGTAATTTTCCCTCTGCAATTATTGTCTCAGCTTTCAAATGCGGTAGGCCTCGAAAGTTTTCGAGATCGAAACGTCTGAGAGACTGGGAAAAAAGTAATTTTCAATTTTAACAGCCAGAGCATAAAATATAAAGCACAACTTGCAGCACACACTTGTTAATGCCACACGATGGGGCAAGTGATTCCTCTCGGTATGATCACACTCGAAAAAAGTTGGCCCAGAAATGCCAGTAAATTAAAAATCAATTAAGCGAAGAAAATTATTCTAAAAGGCCATATACATTATCCATATTGGCTTGTTGATTTTTTTTTAAATTAAGTTTTCCAAACTATTTTGAATCAAATAAATTTGAAATTTAAAATTGATAAATGTTAAATAATTTAGCAGTTAATTTAACAATTTTTATCAGTTGAAGTAATAACTTTGTAGTCTAGGATTTCATATAATAAATTTAGCAATTTAAGAACACCTTTATAATATTCAATTCATAGAAAATATATTTACATGTTCGATGAATCTTTTTTGAGTGCCAACTTTTGTCGCTTTTTGCTGCGTGTCCTGCAAGAAAGAGAGAATTACAAAAGTTTTTCATGTCTTCAGACAAATCTCATTAAAAGGCGTCGCTTCTTCGTGTTGAGCCCTCAAGGAGTCGGGTTCTCGACTTGGAGTCCAGGTCCATGTCCAAGTCCATCCAGAAATCGTGGCCCAGTCATCGGCCAACTTGTGGTTATGACCCTTTTTCCCTTTTTTTTTTCCAGGCGAGAGGCGTTGCATTTAAAATGTCGTTAATAATTTGTTGCTCGCTCCAGACCCAGTCCAAACCAAAACAGCGATCTGAACCAGTCCAAAACCCTGAAACCCTTTCTGGCCGCGCTGTATTTCAGCTTTTTAGAGCTTGTCGTAAAAAGGTTTTTATTATTTTTGTTTCATTTTCATTGCCTCCAAAATAGGATTAGCCTGTTGCGGCTTGGCCTCTTTTTGCGTCTTGTTTTTGTTAAATTTTGTTGGTTTTTTTGTTTTGCTGCTCGTGTCTGGGATGTTGCAACATCCAAAAATCGCTTAAATATCACCATTTTACACGCTTTCAAAATGTTATGGCAGGCAGAGGGATGCGTATTGACTTCGATTCTGAAATTAAGTCTGCGGTTTGCTTATTTGGGTCACCAATTTACAAGTTTCGTGATTGATTTTCGAACAAGCAGTGTCCTAAAATCTGAAGGTAAATGAACTAATAGAATTTGGATTTTCTGCTTTTTGTTGTTTAAAAATTGTATTTAAATTTTAAAGTGTAACGATTTACTGACTTTAGTTAGGAGTAATTGTAAAAGGTGTATAAAAACTATTTTACGTTGTGTAATATGTGGTTTTAGAAAATATTTTAATTTTCAAGTGTTACTTTTATTTATAAATAGACTTGAAATTGTTTCGTTTAATTCAGGGATTTTAAAATAATCATTAATTCATTTTTTTCTTTTAAATAACGCATACGTATATGATTATTTTGTATTATATATTATTATTTTCTAATAATTTTTAAATAATTTGCAATATTTCCACTCTCACTTGCTGGCGTGGTATTGCTGAGAATAAACCCGTTCGAGTGTGATTTAAGACCGGCAACAAACGCAAACTAATTAACTTGCACAGCGGTCGGATGGATAGTCACTTTGGCGGTGGGTGGTCCTTCTCCCGGCCAAATACAACCAAGAACGAAGCCAGAAAAAAATTAGTTAACAAGATCATTAAATCTTTGTTAACAGCCTATCGAGCAGAGACAACGACAACAGAGTCTCCGTCCTCCAGACTTCTAGGGGAATTAGAGGAGACGTCATGGGCAGTTTGGCCATATAACCACAGCCAAGCCAACGACGTGCGATAAGATAACAGATGCCCAGACCCTGAGACGCAAGCTGGTCCCAATACCCAGGCCCAAAATACCTGGACATGGCATGTAAATCGGAGTACGTGGCCGAGACTCAACAGAGTGGCCAAAACCGCTGAATCAGATTCTAAAATCTTGGCGAAAAAAGCTACTACTCAATATATATTACTATTATTATATATTTCTCGTTATTTTCAAAGCAAATATTTTGTTTTTTTTTTATAATGATTTACAATAGATAATAGTTATTATTTCAAACTGACTTAAATATGTATTATCCTATTATATATTATCAAACAACTTTTTTTAGTTAAACATTCCAAAATATATTTTCTGTAACACATTTCATTTATGAATTATCTTTTAAAATTATCTTCCATAGCAATACTGCACAATTCCCCAAATTCAGAATAAATTTAAATACTTTCAAAAACTGTGTTTGTTTTGAACCAAATAAAAAATATCTAAATGGCCAACACTGCCTTCAAAAACCGAACCTGTCTCTAGAATTGCACATGTTTATCTATTAATTTATGCTGGCGGTTTTTGGGTTCCTCGTTTGGCCATCTCAGTGGGATCGCACTTGTGCCCGGATAGTCTGCTTCCTGGGAATTCCTGTTAGTTGCACAAAGTGGATGGGGAGGATCTGCATCTGGATCTGAATCCTCAAGCACAGCAGTCGCCCTGCCACAGGGACAAACGCTTGATAAGAGCGCTAATTAAGTTAAATGCCAACTGTGTGTGGGTTCTACACAGAGGATAAATATTATCAAAAAATATTTATAAATTTTAAATGATTAAAAAGAAAATGTTTTTATAATAAAAATCTTAATTAAAGTTAATACATTGTAATTATTAAAAATATATGTGCAGACCTTATTTTTTTAAAAATAACTTTTGGTAATTTTTTTTAATATACAAATCATTGGGTTTTATAAATATTCATTTAATCTTACTGCAAATCTCAACGTTTTTTAACCTACTATTGTATATATTGTTTGAAATAGCTTTGCAACGAATGTTTATTGTTCCAAAGGCGTTTATAATATTAACTTTGTTGTTTACAAATTATGGAAAAATCGTATTGATTATTTTTTTTAAATTTCAGTGTATAAGTGATTCTTGGTAAAAAAAAAAAAATTGGCAATCGGTAACCTGCATAGTTGGGTTCTTTTGATTTATATCCTGCAATTGGAATTGGAGAGGAAAACACCTCTTATCTTATCTCTCTTAAAAACACTTTCCTGTTTTTGTTTGTTTTGGTGATGTTGCAACACATCTGCCACTTGGTGGTGTGTGGCATTTTCCACTTGAGTCAGTAGCAATTTTTTAGCCCTATCATACGTTTTTTAAAACTATAATGTTTTCCGAAAAATGAATTGATTGTAACAAAAAGTTGTTAAATTCGGAGTATTATTTTAGTCTATAAAAAAAGCAAGAGAAATATTTAATAAAATTCTCAACCGATTAGCATTTAAAGCTAAAAATCGTTGTTTTTAAAAGTTTTGGCATAAAATCGGTTTAAAAAAATTAGAAATGTTCCAAAAAGTATATCAAATCAATCTGAAATGGCTGGTTTAGGACATTAGCTGTCTAACTTTTAACTTTTTGATTTTTTCAGGCTAAAAGAAAGTATTGTTGGGTATATAGTGGCGAAATTAATAGTTTCCAAATCGTCAATGGTGCAAACTTCTTCCTAAACCGCGATACCACATACATAGATAGTGCCATCGATAGTTTTAAAGCTCTTCACCAAACGCTTATTTTGAAAAATAAAGAGCACCCGCGAAACAATGTGGAAACGAAACAGAGGTAAGAGAGAGTTTGCCTCAAGAGAATGATTTGTTAATACTCTTTGCCAGCGAAGAGATCGCTAATTTATGTTTCATCTTGTCTCTTTTTTAAGTGTTCCCTAATTTTGGCTCCCATAATGACCATCTTAAAATTTTGATCTGTATTCATAACAACAAACCATTTTTAAAAGCACTTCCCATACAAAGAATTTGTTCATTTTTTTGTTATAACGTTATGTTGCTTGAAAGCATCGCTATTTTTTTTATTTCATAATTATTCAAACTTTTTAGTTCAGATGATTGTTTAATACAAGTTTAAAAAGGCTTTCACTTTAGGGCTTGTTAACGTCGTGGCATAGAATCGATAAGGTCCCGGCACCTTAAAGGCTTTAAAGATATTTAATCTGAGATTTGCGCGATGATCTTACAATGGCTAAAGCTTTTCTTAGCATCCCCCATAAGATTTCGATCGGGTTTAGGTTTGTGGATTAAGCTCGACATGGTATTACGTCGGTCATTCACTTGAAGAACAATAAAATATAAACATATTTTGCATATTTTCTGCATTGCCTCAATAAATCCGTTTTGCCTTTTATTTCTCAGAACTGAAATTTATCTGTTATTAAACACTTTGGGTACTTTGTAACTTTTCTAAAAAAAAACGGTTCATTAATGCAGAGCGTTACCTGGTTTCCCTGTTTTTCCTCGTTGACCTTTGAAATTTAGTCAAACTACCTGTCTAAGTTTTTTGCTTTTCAGTTATCAGGTCAACTAATGATACACCTGATAATGATAATGAGGCAAAAGAAAACCCTCGTTTGCTAATCCTCCAAAAGGTGGGGTTTTTATTCAATTCGGGGTAACTTTTTAGGTAAGATCGTTTTTCTCCTTATTGCGCATTGAATTCAGAGAGCGAGAGTGCGCAGCTGCAGAGAGCGCAACGCACACAGGTATAGCTTTTACTGTATATAGCCTACACCAGTGCAATTATAACGGCATCGGTTCGTTTAGCGGCTTCGATTGGTGCAAGTGTACGAAGTCGGCACGTGAGCTACTCGTACATAAACAAGCCGAAACCTGTTTGCACGCCGAGTTCTGCGATTGGTCGAAGCAGCTACCTGCACGGATACGTTCGCTCTCGTCGGGGAACGCTCTCTCGCGCGCTCTCCAACAGCAGCAGTATAAAAGGCAGCACCACCGTCAGTCTCGCTCAGTTCTTCTCCGAATCGAACCGATTGAACACAACTTAACCAGCTCTCCTAACCTGAATATTTCACCCGAAAAATAACCGATATTCAACCGCTTCGCTTAACGGAACACGCGTTTTGTATCTGTGTATTACCCGAAACAATTGTGCCTGTGTGAACATGAGGACACACTAAAAAAACAGTGAACAAAAAACGAGAACTTTTCCAAATAATTCTTATAAACTACAAAAGGAAAAAAGCAAATAAAATGCATTCCGTGGAAGACATGTTGGTGGAGAAAAACTACAGCAAGTGCCCGCTGAAAAAGCGCCCAGTTAATTACCAGTTCGAGGCGCCCCAAAATCACAATAATACACCCAATGAACCACAGGATTTGTGCGTGAAGAAAATGGAAATCTTGGAGGACAATCCCTCAGAGGAGCTGATCAACGTCAGCGATTGTTGCGAGGACGAGGGTGTTGATGTGGATCACACCGATGATGAGCATATCGAAGAGGAGGACGAGGATGTGGACGTGGATGTGGACTCCGATCCCAATCAAACGCAGGCTGCGGCTCTGGCTGCCGCCGCTGCAGTGGCCGCCGCAGCTGCCGCTTCCGTAGTGGTGCCCACTCCCACTTACCCAAAATATCCCTGGAACTTCCACATGTCCCCGTACACTGCCGAATTCTACAGGACCATCAATCAGCCGGGCCATCAGATTTCGCCTCTGCGAGGCGATCTCATTGCCCCCAGTTCGCCAAGTGATTCGCTGGGCTCCCTGTCGCCGCCACCACATCATTATCTTCACGGTCGCGCCAGCTCCGTTTCTCCACCAATGAGATCGGAAATAATCCACCGACCCATTGGCGTGCGGCAGCACCGATTCTTGCCCTATCCACCAATGGGCGGTTATCCCAGTCTGGGCGGCTATACCCATCATCATCATGCGCCGATTTCACCGGCCTACTCGGAGAACTCCTACTACTCCATGCGCTCGATGACGCCCGAATCCAGCTGCAGTTCCTCGCTGCCCGAAGATCTATCCCTGAAACACAAGAACCTGAATCTGAACCTGAAGACCAATCAGCCAGGAGAAATAGTGGCTATCAAGCCGGGAGAAATGTCGCCTGCAGCCAGCATCAATGCCTCCGCCAAGAAGGACAAAAGCCAGCCACCGCGTTACCAATGCCCGGATTGCCAGAAATCGTACTCCACCTTCTCTGGGCTGACCAAGCACCAGCAGTTCCATTGCCCCGCCGCCGAGGGCAACCAGGTGAAGAAGTCCTTCAGCTGCAAGGATTGCGACAAGACCTATGTGTCGTTGGGCGCCCTGAAGATGCACATTCGCACCCACACGCTGCCCTGCAAGTGCAATCTGTGCGGCAAGGCGTTCTCGAGACCATGGCTCCTGCAAGGACACATTCGCACCCACACGGGGGAGAAGCCATTCAGCTGTCAGCATTGCCACAGGGCCTTTGCCGATCGCTCAAATCTGCGAGCCCATCTGCAGACCCACTCGGACATCAAGAAGTACTCCTGCACCAGCTGCTCCAAGACCTTTTCGAGGATGTCCCTCCTAACCAAACATTCAGAAGGCGGCTGCCCTGGCGGCAATGGAGGCGGATCCTCCAGCAGCGAACTCAATTACGCCGGCTATGCCGAGCCCTAAGGCGATCTATAGTATATACAGCTGAGATCCCAGCCATGTTCCACCAAAAATTAGTTCCTAGCTCTCTTAGGCGGCTCCAAGTTCCCAAAACTCCCAGTGCAGACACACAATTTCAAACAGAATTTCACTTATTTTTATTTTCTAGTCAGCATTTTCTCCGAAAAAAGAGAAAATTAAAAATTACATTTTAATTTGTAACCCTACCCACAAAAAACTTTTCTAACACCCACAATTTGAATAATTCTAACCATAATTGAGTGTGTGCCCATATCCTAAAGATGAACTTTGTAAAGTATTCTACGATTTATCCTGTACATAATGTATTATGTCTAACTGTAGACTTTAAGCTGAACAAATGAAACGCCAGACAATCGTAAGCAAGACATACAACATCTCTCTATTTTATATGATAGTATTCTTAGCCTAGCTGTAGACCGTAAAATATTTTTGATATGACCACTACTTTTTCGCGTATACATTAAAAATGTTCTACATTAGCTTAAGTGAAGATAAGCGAACAACACATATTTTGATACGAAAATGTTTTGTAATTCTAAGTAATTTATTGCATCAAGCGAAAAAAGAAGAAAATACATTTTATTTACATACGAAAAGAACTTGAAACTGATTTTATTTCACGGGCTGGTTGGTTATTTATTTTTTTAGTGTGCTTTATTTACAGAGTATTTTCAACCAATAAAATATTCAGATTTATTCGAAGACGTTACGAAAATGTAATAAGATCTTCTGCATGTTTTTAAGAAATATTATTGTCCACATTTTTATTTAACCAAACTCACAAATTTTAAATGGTATCATTATAATATAGTTAAATATGGACTTGATTTACATCTCAATCCTTATAAAATAAATAATAAAATCGTTTCGTGATAATTATTTAATTTTGCACAAGAAAATTTAAAAAAAATGTTCAAAAGGATAGATGTGGACTAAAAAATATTTTTATGTACATATGTATTATTTGGGCATATAATTGGATGCTTAGACCTCGATTTCAATTCGAGAAATTCTAAAAAAAAAGTTCTTTTCTATTTCCGCCAGAAAGTTCAATGGAATCTAGAATAATCGTGGATGGTCTTTCAAAGTTCTCGATATATTCCCCACATTCTGTTCTTTTTTTGGGTCATGTTCCTCTTTTTTGAACAAATAAACAAATCGAAATGAGAGCCCCCAATCAGCCAATCGCGACATTTTATGGCCTGCCCAGCAAAAGCAAACATAAGGCGCATTTTATATGCCAAGCTGATCATAAATTATATTTAAATTTCGGTACACGTACGACGAGTACAAAATGGCAGTCACTAAATCAAAAGACAAACTTCAAGCCTCAGTAAGTCCGCGCCCCGGCCAAAAGTCTTATTAGACATGAGCCCCGATCTTAATGAGAGAGCAGTGAAAATAGAGCCTCGTCTGGAGATCACCAAGTGTGATCGATGCATCCAGTATCTAGTCAAGCGGAAAAGCGCGGGGAAATCATAATCGTCGGAAAGGTATCGTTCGGGTGACAGAGCATACGAAATTATGGGTGCGTCCTCTGAAGCCAAACGAAACGAAACTCATTATCGAGATCAATCGATCGCCAGGCGGAGCAGAGCCTGCTCCAAAGGCCCAGAAAGAGCTCACACATGTGTGTCGGGGTGGGGATGGGGAATGGGGATGGGAATGGGGATCCCGCCGATCCAGTCGATCCACGATCAACGGCATCAGCGATCGACGACCACGACAATTGTTGCCAAATTAGATCATCAGGCAGCTAGAAAACCAGCGAAACCCAAACAGCAACGGCAGCAACAAGTTTCACGTGTGTACATTGAAAGAAAAGCGTTAAGAAAATTTAAAATAAAATGGGAATAGGAATATATTGATTTTTTTAAAATAAAACAAATAAATAATATTTTGGCGTTTTCAAGGCAAACCTCAAAATTAAAATTATATTATCTAAATTAATTTTTCAGGTAGTTCTTGATATTATCATCTAAACAATAATTTAATCAGTAAGTTAAAGAAAGAATTATTAGTTTATTTGGAATAAAAAATACATTTGTTTTACTATTATATTTTTAAGCTTATACTAGATAAAGGGAAAAAAACATTTTGGACACTTTGAAAACTTTAGAGAACTTACTTTGCACTATTTCTCAATATTGAAAACATATTAGCGAATTGATTCTCGAAGTGCAGGGAGAGATCCAAGCCCAGTTCGATGGATCGGGCCAACGTAAATATACGAAAATTAATATGCACGCATTTCGTGGCTCCACTTCCTCCACAGCCGTTTGCTCCAGTCTCGGGTTACCAGCCTGCAGATCCACAGGGTCCAAGATCCCAGACTCCAGCTCAGTAAGACCCAAAACCGAATCCAAAGCCCGACTCGTTGAGCGCTGCTCCCAAAACGACGATCGTTCGTGCCAGCTTTCTTGCTAAACAATTTGCAAACGATTTCTAATAAGCGTCTTAAATTGTAACAAAATAGACGCGCATTTAGGGCCTTTTGTGTGCCTTTGCCTGGTTTTCTGACTCTCGATAACAAAGATCGAGGGAATAAAAAATAGGAAAATGAAATAAAAAATTGCCAAAAACATGGACAGCCACAAAACGGGAGGGTAACTGCTTCGCTTGACCCTCTCTCTACCCAAAAATAATACAACAAAAATAAGCAACCCATTGTGTCTCTATTTTTGATTATTTTATTTTATTTGTGCCAAATTTCGCGCTTGATCGGTGCATTTTTTTTTTTATTAGCTTCTCGACTGTGGGTAGCGGGTCCAGTTAGGGTTACTATGATGAAGATCTTTGGGTTAGGCCGTCGACAATTTGACTGATTTTAGGGACCCCGGGTTGTGGTGACTTATTTATGGCAAATGAATATTTTTATACCCTTGCAGAGGGTATTATAATTTTGGTCAAAAGTGTGCAACGCAGTGAAGGAGACATCTCCGACCCTATAAAGTATATATATTCTTGATCAGGATCACCTCCTGAGTTGATATAGCCATGTCCGTCTGTCCGTCTGTCCGTCTGTCCGTCTGTCTGTCCGTCTGTCTGTCCGTCTGTCTGTCCGTCTGTCTGTTTCTACGCGAACTAGTCTCTCAGTTTTAAAGATATCGAATTGAAACTTTACACACACCCTTCTTTCCTTTGCACGCAGTATATAAGTCGGAACGGCCGGGATCGGCCGACTATATCCTATAGCTGCCATATAACTGAACGATCGGAAATGCCATAACTTTGGTGTTTGTAAAGTTAGGAAGTTGGGATTTTCTATGGGTTTTGTATTTGGCTAATCAATCCGACATGCCGAGTTTCATAAGGATAGGCCGACTATATCCTATAGCTGCCATATAACTGAACGATTGGAAATGTCATAACTTAGGTGTTTTTAAAGTTAGGAAGTTGGGATTTTTTATGAGTATTAAGAATGCATCATATGAATAATTTTGGAGAATATAATTTACAGAGTATTCTGCAAGGGTATATCAACTTCGGCTCTGCCCGAAGTTAGCTTTCCTTTCTTGTTTGCCTTGAGTTTGTTTGTGGGAAAATATTCGATAGATGAATCTATGAGAGTTCAATGAACTGGGGTGGAAGGATTATAAATCTATTTGAATGTTATTAATGGCATCTCATTTTGGGTTCTCAAAGAGAAAGTTATTTAAATTTATGGAATTGCTTTTATACAATTTTAGTGGCAGACTTACACCTAAAATAGAAAAACTTTATAAAATTACAAGTTAAAAATTGATATTAAATGATTTATACGTTGCTATTCAGGCTCAGATTCTGGGTGGTGCAAATAGGGAAATGTCTAGCATAGAAAATTATTATATTATCGTATATTCATAATTTAAAAAGTTCGCTTCATATATCAAACACTTTAACCCCTGAATTCCCTCTGTTCATATGAGATATTTATAAGATATGCCAAAAAATATTAATATTATTTTAAGCTTCAAATACCCTGTTCAAAATTAGCATCCCAAAGGTGATATACCCCACTTCCAGTAGTTTTTGGCATCCATTTCAATTCGTTAACAATAAACAAATATCACTTTCCTGACGTTTTTCGCAACTGCAGCTGTCTGTCTGGTCTTCCACCTTTGGGGTAACCCCATAGTTCCCAATCCCCCCTCCAATATTCCCCCACTTGGTGTCACTGATAAAACCTGAGGATTTTGGCCACCAAGAAAAGAGTGAGCTGCACCATAATAAAGCAGCTAAAAGTCAAACGACAACGCAAAAAGGTAAACAGATCGAAACTTTATGAATATGCAAAGATAAACAAAGCGGAGGAGCCTCCCCCTTTAGCCACCCACCAACCTGCGTCACCCTTTTGTCTATTGAAAAAAACACTTTTTTTGAATTTCAAATTTTTTAACGAGCCAAAATGAAAAACTTTCCAAACAAAAGGCAAAATACACACACACAAATATAGACGATTGATCCAGAGCAGAAAGAGACGGCTATAAAGGGGGGAACAGAGAGGGGAGACCGAGCGACAAAAAAGCGCAAGCTGAAATGAAATTTAGCGTAAAAATGGAGATCTTTTGTCTGCGATAAACGTGAGCGTTTTGTTTGTCACGACGAGACGAAGTGTGCTTTTTTGCGCGATTGCCGGATTCGGATTTGGATTCGGAATCGAAATAATCTCTTTAAAATGAATGTAATGTAAGAAGGGTCTAAGTACTTAAAAAGATATTAAAGAAAAAATTTAAAACTTTTAATTGATCCAGGCATGATTATGGTACCTAATAATTCAGAAAACAACACAAAAATTCAATAAATATATACCTGTAAATTTGCTGATATTTGGCTTTATATATTTATTTATATTTAAGCTGTTGATCCCTTTTAACTCTTTCGGAATTCATTAATATGTATTGCTTTGATCGTGTTTATCCATAATAAACTTTAACTTTAAAAGTTCGTGGTAAGCAATTAATCTAAATAAGGAGCATATAACATAATTTTAATAATAAATACTTTATTGAGATTTTTTGATTTCCTTTATAATTGCAATCAATATAAAAATAGTATTTTAGCTTTGATAAACATTTATGTGTTTCATTATTTACAAAAGTTATTATTTTTTTGTATAAAAAATTGGTACATATAAGCAGTTAATATCAGAATTAACTAAAATTTATTTCAAATTTTAATAATAATTGAGCATATCATTATAAAAAGTGGTAAATATATGTATAGGACTTAAAAAATATGCATATAGTGTAAAATTAAATAAAATCTTTAACAATCTTAACTATAACTGAGCATAGCGTGTAATGTCCTAACGTGGTCTAAATTACTCGTAAGCCCGTAGAAAAGCTGTCATAAAGCGAATCCTATTGTTCCGAAGATAAGAGACAGATGCACGAAATGCATGCTATCTCCCTCTCGCTCTAGCCTTTTCCCCCATTTCCCCACCTTTTCCCCTTGCATTTTTCTTTGACAATTTCAGTTAATTTGTGTGAACGAACAACAACAACAGCGCAAGTGCTTTTTGCTTTTTTTTCTTGTTGATGGAGCCTACTCCATTTGCCTGAGTAAGAGGAAGAGAGATGGAGAGTCATTGGGGACCATGGTGTGTTTGTGT